GCGAAAGCAGCTCGAGCTTTTCGGGTCCGTGACTTGGAGGAGTTCATGTGAAGAGGAGATGAAAGCATGTGGGCAGACTTGGAGCGGAGTGAAAAAGTTGGCAGAAAACCGAAGGCAATGGAGACGCGCAGCTGAAGCCCTTTGTTCCTCTAGGAATTAAAGGATATATAATAATAATAATAATAATAATAGAAAATCTGTATGAAAACGCAATGTTATTATTAGACAGTGATTGAGTGATAACAAAATAAGGATGATGAGAATAATAATAATAATAATAGTAGTAAACGTACATAATAAAAGGATGCAAAATTATAGTGAAGACATTACTCTGGTCACGGTAGGCAGGCGAGTGAATGTATGTGGCCATTTTGAAAGCAGAGGTCCAGGTTCAGATTACGAATAGCCAATGATTCAGCTATGTACAGATGACGTATTCGAAGTCCTTTCGTATGAAATTGATGGACTCTGTGTAGCACTGTGAAGCATTCCTGTGGGGGTGCTCGATATCTGGAGATGAGAAGGGGTTCTAGGATGGAGCTGCTGCTATTCTTCTTCTCTCTTCTGAGTGGCCAAGCTGGAGAGTGTTCCAGAATACGTTTGCGGTCTTGACATTGCGTACGGCCGATATACTTTACTCTTCACAATTCAGTCCTGAGACTCTAAACACGCCTAATACACCAAACCTGACTTATCATTTGTAATAATAAGTTTCTAATAGTTGCTGTTCAGTCGTCAGATTTACAGCTGAAGTAGAAATTGGACAAACACTTTCCTCTCTGGAAATTTGACCAACAAATAAGACCGTTGGGACACTGAATAGATCAGTTTGCAGAAAGTCTACATGGGACGGCCAGCTGACAAATTTTACAGTTGGGCACCCATAAATCGAAGACTAAACCTGATGACATCTCCTGCCAATGGAGCGAAAGAATCTGTACCTCAGAGTCAGTACTTTAAGAGACTACAATCTCGACAAAGACTCTAATTGAAAGTGGTCACTTCTCACATAAGACAAAGAAAAAGCCAACGAGGTGGATCTCATCTCCGTGTCGAAGAAGATACTATTATACATAAATGTGTCGTTCAGAGGTGACCTCCTGGTTGAGGAAAAGAATATCCAGACAACATTCTTTGGATCTACATTAAGATCGGTACCTACCTGCTGCCCAATATTCTTCAGTAAGTCTATAGATAAACTTTCGCATTTGACCACTTCTATGTTCACCTACCAAATCACATGGTCCTGTAAAGGGAGATATATCTAAAAGATTCAAGGGACGTTATCCTACACTGCTACAGAAAGGTCACAAAGCGTCAGCACAGAGTGCTATAACTGAACACATATTTAACACCGATCACTCAATATCTAAGGGAAAATTCACCCAAATTTGTCTAGGAATTCATAAGAAGGCTATCGAGAAAGGTATACTTCAACATACTTTGCATCACTAAGACCCTTAATGATCCTGATTTATGTACTCAGAAGAAACGTTTCCATCTCCTCCTTCTAACTTGGACAACCTATTCTCCTCTGTTGTTCCCCTTTAGTTTTTCCAAGGGTACTCAACAAAGACTATCTTATTACGCAGGGTGTTAAAGGTTGTCAGCAGAGTAAGCAACGTGCCACTTAACCAACCAGCTTGTTAATATTCTGGTCGACAGGCACATGGACTCATGTGAAAAATGGGCAAAATCCATTCTATCTGTCTAACTCACACCACCACCCCCTTCATTCACAAATCTCCCCCTTGTATCTCATCAGGCAAAGCCAGAAGCCTATATAGAAAACTACATGCTCGCACTAGTAAGTACAAAAACTCAACCATACCCTACTTACTTGGCTCGTATTCTGTGCGATAAAGAAAAAAGCATTAGGCGTGATACCTATAACTTATTAAGTAGTCACTAGAACAAGTGGATCAGTGGTTAGGACTCTTGTCGACCATGCACATGGTCCGAAGTTCGACCCTCTGCCGACTCACTCTTGACATCTATGGTCGGCCTGTAAAATTTGAGCTACCGATATCCATGCTGAAAATTGCATACTTGTACCAAAAATTCAGTGAGTGGAATCAAGCTGTAATCAAAAATAAAAATTTTAAAAAAATCTGGTCTTTCCAATTCATATCTTTTACAGGTACGACGTCTTCTTTCTTTCTTTTCCTTTTCTCTCTCTCTTCTTTTTTCTCTGTTATGTGCTGCTTTGTTTCTTTCTTCTGCTTATGCCAGTAAATATGCAAGCATCTACTTTTCTAACACTTTCAAACACTCTGTTCAATTTTTGGCCTTGCTACCGACACGCGAATATGTTGTCATAATGTACTGAGATTACCCTTAATCTATGTAGAATTTTATTTATTGTTAATGTACTAACTGGATGCAATACTGTGGTAAAATGCTGAGAATTCCATTCTGTATCACAAGTACTGTTTTGGAATAAAGCAAATTATTATTATTATTATTAATTCCAGGCTCAGTTGTCATCAAAATTTCGTTATATATGATAGAGAAGATTTGTAGCTCAGGTGGATGATTTTGATGTGGTCGTGTTCTCTGAGCTAGCTGGATAGTTAATTTGCGAAACTTTCATCGCCCTACTAGGCGACATCTCCAGCGCATACTTCAATCTGTTGAAGTGAGCTTTTAGATTTCTTCACGAGTTTATTAATCATCTATTCAAACCTTTAGGAATTGACGTCACACACATAAACCAACAAAAGCTCTTCACTCACTTCTATGTCAACCAAAAGACTCAACAGCGAAAGAAGATAAAACCAATATCATCTACAAAATAAGTTGCAATGGCTGAGAAAAACACTACATTGACCAAACTGGACGTCCTTTTTGTCTTTGTATCCACGATCATAAGCTAGCCGTCAAAAGACATGATATCCACTCCCTCATTTCGTTTCACTGCAGACAGACAACTACGGACATCAATTCGACTGAGACAACCAGCATTCAAATATTAGACAGAGGAAACACCAAGAATGCTAGCCAGAGAATTTTTAGAAGCTTGGAATTCCAGTGAATCATCAATCAATAGACACATCGAGACAGACAAAATTTACCAATCGATAAGAAGGAAAACTCACACATAAAGGATCAATGTTCAAGTCAAGGAAACAATTAGTTCCAATGCAAGTAAACTAGAAGGTGTGATAACACACACAAACAACCAATCACGTCCAAGGTCACCTACGAGGAGAGATGACTAATGAACTCACGGAGAAAGATAAGGACTCAATTCAAATTGAAGTGTGCGCTGGAGATGTCACCTAGTAGGGTGATGAAAGCTTCGCAAATTAACTATCCAGCTCAGAGAACGCAACCAACTATTTTCTTCACTAACCTTTTGTTCACTCCCTTCACTTCACTTAGTACACAGTTGATTTTGATGCTTGTTTCCGTGGTCTTTTATTAAAATCCAATATTTTCTCCAACCTTCCTCATAATACATAACCGTAGTTTACAAACTTACTAATCTTCCCCCGTCTGGTTTCAATTTTCACTACTCATCACTGTCCTGAAGTATTGTGCGTCGATAGCACAGTGGTTAGGACTCTCGCCGACCATGCACATGGTCCGAGGTTCGAGCCCACGCCGACGCACACCTGATATCTATGGTCGGCCTGCGAAATTTGGGCTACCGATATCCACGCTGAAAATTCCATACTTGTAGCAAAAATACGGTGTGGAATCAAGCTGTAATATACATCGGACAAGCCTCACTATAGAGAAATCAAGGTAATCAGAAGAAATGAACACTGTGGAGTGGGTGTCTTTTCGACCACCAAGGAATCCAGTTAGTGAACTAGAAAAGCTTGAAGAAAAAAACATCAGCCAGTCATAGCTCGTCTACACGCTACTCTATAGAATCAGACCACAAAATTGATTTTGACAATATTGAAATCATTATCCAGAGAAAGCATTTCAGAAATCAAAAACAACGTCTCATATCATCAGGAGCGCTTCATGCCATCAAATGGAATCCCAATTGTCCGATCTGGATAGAAATGATAGACTAAAACAGAATTTCACCTGGTTACAACACCCACCTGCCCCATCCCATGAAATGACGAAATCAACACGAATGTGTAAGCAATTTCATTATGTAAATACCCGCGGCTTTTATAATTTTACACATTTATTGAATCCAGCAATCTACATCTACCTGGTTTTGTTATCTTTACCAGTTGACCAACTTGACGAGGAGAAAATAACCCCATGCTGAGGAACGATGATTAAGTTGTTATATGTAAGCTGAGTGGATATGGCAAATTCTGGTTTAATAATACTACTACTTTGATAAAGCTATTAGCTGCAGCATTAAATAGGGAAAAGTCAGTAAAACCGACAACAATATCATTTTGTTTTTCATTCATTCACTGGGAAATACGAAAAGAAACCTTTATTATAATGGAGAACGACAGTGATTTTTGAGAATCTTCTCTGATCATGTTGTCTACCACGATATAACAACGGTAATTAAAAAAAAGGCTTTATATATACATGTATAGTATTCATAACAGGTTTATATTACCTAGAATATATATAGAATAGAATATATATAGAATATAATCGATGCACTGCACTCGCTGTTCTGCTCAATTTGGGAGTCCGAAACCATTCCTTCCGATTGGAGCACCTCAGTTCTGCTACCGTTCCACAAAAAGGGAGACAGGTCAATATGCGAGAACTACCGAGGCATAAGTCTGATTGATATCGCTGCTAAGGTTTTTGTTTCCATTCTCCTGAACCGCTTCGCGGCCGAACGCCACGTGCGAACAAGGCCAAATCAAGCCGGATTTCGACCTGGAAGAGGCTGTGTTGATCAATTATTCACACTGCGAAGAATTTTGGAACACAGGGACAAATTCCAACAGCCGACGGTTGCCTGCTTCATCGACTTCCAAGCGGCATTCGACTCAGTTGATCGAGGAGCACTCTGGTATCTAATGGAGCTCGACGGAGTTCCGACCAAGCTAATCAACCTGCTCAGGTCATACTACTCCAACACCAAAGCTCGAGTCCGAGTGAACGGTGAAGAGTCCCGCACTTTTGAGGTAACCAGCGGTGTCCGGCAAGGTTGTCCAGCATCCCCCATCCTGTTCAATTTCACAGTTGATTGGATTTTGCGGCACGCCCTAACCGAGCACCACGGCGTCCAACTTTCGCCCGATATTCACATAACCGACCTCGAATTCGCCGACGACGTCGTGCTGTTAGCTGAAAACTTCCCCGGTATGCAACAGGCGCTCGACCAGATAAACCACCTCGCGTCTACTATCGGTTTGAAAATTAACACTTCCAAAACCAAAATGTTTTCGAACACATCCGCCGGCAATGATGAAATCTTATCCTTAAATGGAGCACCTATTGAAATTGTGCCATCCTTCAGATATCTGGGATCCATAATGCTCCCCAACGGCCAAGCGAAAAACGAAGTGAATGCGCGAATCTCCAACGCCCGGAATGCGTTTCTACAGCTGAGGAGCGTTCTATGGAGCAAGAGAGAAATCAGTCTCAGGACTAAAATTCGGATCTACCAAGCTTCCATACGACCCGTTCTGCTGTATGGCTGTGAAACCTGGCCTCTTCGCGCGGAAGATTTACGCAGACTCGAGGTATTAGACCATTGGTGTCTCAGGTACATTCTGCATGTTCGTTGGCAGGACAAACTCTCCAACGAAGAAGTGCGTCGGCGTTGCTACAACATCAACCAAATTCCAGTACTGGTCCAACAACGCCGCCTTCGGTGGTTTGGCCATGTTCTGCGCCGACCAGATGACGATCTGGTCAAATCAGTTCTAAATCCCTCGCCATTACCATCTTGGCGATGTCGCAGAGGCGGACAGCTGAAGACATGGCTTGGTACAGTCAAGGCAGATATGGAGTGCCTGGGGCTACAAACGGTCTACGGACTCCGTATGTGGAACAAGAATTGGATATCCCTATCACAAAACCTTGCTTCAGATCGCCGCGCCTGGGCAGCGATGATTCGAGACGTTCATGAAGCCGGCTCATCCTCCCGTAGGAGATAGCCGAAGTAAAGTAAAAGTAAGTAATATATCTAAACCATTACAATATCTACAGCCAGGAATACAACCAGAACAAATGTCTGGTAGTTCCAATATGAAATAATCATAAAAATCACTTAATCGCCATTTATATTCTTTTTTACATATTTGTGAATTACTACTGTTATTATTACTATTATGATTTGACTTATTCACAATGTCATTGGACTTTGTATAATTGGTTGAATTTAACAATCCCCTGTTGGTGATTCCGCCATTATTTTCTCCACTGGTTTCTTCCCTCTTAACACTTCCGTGCTGTTCATTCAACTCTTGATTTGTCATTTTAAACAACTTAATTTCATCATCTGATAATTTTAAATTGTTTGAATTATTCATTAACTGTTGTTTTTCACCTTTACATCTGTATACATTGATTATATCCGAATAAATATTTGAATTTGATGCATTCTCCTCACTATACATTACATTACATTGATCATTGAATGATTGAGCATTGTTTGAATTGTTTAAACCGACTGGAGATTTATGTACATATTTAAATTGGATGGAATTACGTATTAAATATCTAATATATTGTACACTTGGTATTAAACTGTCAATTGGTAGTCCACAAGCTCTACACATTGTAAATGTTAATGCCATGTTTAAATGATTCCTGGTTTCTTTTTCATGTGTTGTTGAAAATGTTGAATTTTGAAATGAATATCCATTGTTTTGATTATCATATCTATTAGAGAAATAAAATTTAAAAAATTATTTTATAAGATTATAGAAGTTCTTACTAGCAGTACATTTTTAAATTATTGACTTAATCGGTCGACTATTAACTGATATATTTAATTAAAGGATTGAAGCTCATTTGGTCAACTGCACAAAAAGTTTCGGTAGAGTTTGAATTCAGTTAAGGGTGGCGTACTATGCAGCACAACCTTGACTAGTTAACTAGGTCGCTGGTTTTTTAGCCGGTCCCAAGCCTGGGTAAAGAGGGAAGGTTGGGCGTGGTTGAACTAGCAGCCCTACACCACTAAATCTTTCAATTCGCTAGAGAAGCGTCAACACGCAGAAAATATGTTAAAATTACAAAAACTTCAAATAACAACAGTCTTATTCTCCGATGAAATCGAAGGCTGTTGAAAGCCTTCGGGAAGCCAGTCAGTCGATATGTCTTCTCCCGACGAAAGCAAGAGTAAGAATTGGTACGTGGAAGGCCCGGACACCAGACCAGACTGGACAGGCTGACCAGGTAGCCAAAGAGATGCGAAGATATGGCTTAGAAGTAGTGGGTATCTGAGAAAGCAGATGGAATGGATGTGTATTGACAACACTATCAACAGGAGCGTCAATAATCTCCTCTGGTCACTCAGACGAAAACCACGAGCACACTGAGGCAGTGAGTGGATATAGTGATGTCACCAGTGGCAGTTGAAAAGTCCTAATGCAGTGGGGACCAATCACCTCATGGAGGATCATGACAGCGACATTCAACTCAAAAAGAAGGAAGGAACGCAGCAGTTATCCAATGCTACGCACAGTGCTATAAACAACGCGGAACAAGAAAAGAAGGAGGACTCTTACAGACAACCACAAACAGTAATGGACAACATCCCAAATGGTGACATCAAAATCCTTATGGGTGATATGAATTCCAAACTGGAACTTGGTAATACAGGAAGAGAACTCATCATGGGTCAAGAGGTTGTGGCTCGGAGAAATGAATGATAACGGATAATTATTCTCAGACATCTGTACTCTCAATGATCTGGTGGTCGGAGAGGGTGTGCACAAACACAAGGATATACACAAAGCAACGTGGATTTCGCCTGACGGACATACCACAAACCAAATAGATTTCATCTGAATATTGCTCAAGGAAGTGGAGATGCAGCTAGTGTGCTGGATTCAAAGTCGGGAAGTGAGGAGATGTGGGCTCATACCATCATGTAGTTCAAGGAACCTTCGAAGAGAATCTGAAATCCACGAAAACAACCGGAGACAGACCACTGTAATTCAAATTCAACATTCAGAAACTGAACTGAAGGACGGAACTACAAGGGATGTCTTCGCTTCAGATCAGATCAGAGCAAAGTCGGACACACCACGTGACATCATTGAGGAAACCTGTGTGGAAGAACACTGGAACTCTCTGAAGGTGATGTTCAAGGAAACGTGTAAAACTGTTTTAGGAAGAAGGAAGAGACAAGACAATGAATGGCTGTCAACAGATACCCGGAAGCTAATTGGGGAGAGGGGGATGCTGAGGGAGATGACACAATGCAAAGATGGACAAGAGAATGAGAAGTTGAGTTCAATGTACACTGCTCGGAATAAAGAAGTGAAGAAGAGTGCTAGAAAAGACAAAAGACAATGCCACGACACACTGACAAATGAAGCAGAACAGGCCGAACGCTGCGGGTAGAAGAGACATCAAGATATTATATCAGATAACCAAGTCTCTATCCGAGAAGAGATCAGCCCAGATGATGAATCCAATAAAAGATGATCAAGACGACCTGATTACCAAGGAGAAGAAACAAATCAAACAATCGGCTGATCACTTAAAAGGACTCTCGAGTCGATCATCACCTGCAACTCGCCCAGAAATATAGTACCACCAACAGCACGCACAGAACTACTAGTGGACACTAATCCTCCAACAAAAGCAGAAATTCCGAACACAATCAAATACTGAAGTCCGGAAGGCAGCAGAACCAGACAGCATTCCTCCGGAAGCACTGTGGCAGATGTTCTCACTGCATCACTGCAAAAAGTTCGGGAAGAAGGAAAGGTGCCTACTGATTGGAATAAGGGTTACCTCGTCAAACTGCCAAAGAAGGGTGACTTAGGCCTGTGCAAGAACTGGCATGGAATAATGATCTTTTCCACGCCAAGTAAAATACTAAGTCGCATCATCCTGGAGACAATAAAGAATGCACTAGATACAGAAGTCCACCCACCAGAACAATCTGGACTCAGGAAAGACAAATCATGTGCTTATCAAATTGCAACTCTAATCATCGTCATCACACAACAAAACACAGAATAGCAGTCAAACATCTAATTAAAACTTCATTGACTTCGAAAAGGCCTTCACGAGACAGCGTAGACTTACATATAAATCTTACATATAAATCAGTTCATTATTTCTCTCTGAAATAAACACTCTTCCTTCTGAGTTCTTATTGAATCTAAACTCAGTAGCTGAATCATAAATGAAGCCATGGCAAGTGAAGCAGAAAAAGCTGCAGGCAAAGAAGACCTCGCCGCACTCTACCAAACAACTGGGTGCCTATCTGGCAAAGTTCGACACAAATTAATCCAGTAAAGGATGACAATGGAAAGTCAATCACCAAAGAAGCGGAGCAAAGAAAACAGTGGGCTGAACACTTCAAAAGATTTCTAAATCGACCGCCACCTACAACGCGCACAACAATACCAACAACGGGAGCAGAACTACCAGTGAACATTAATCCTTCGACGAAATCAGAAGTCTTGAAGGCAATCAAGATGCTTTAAGCTGAAAAAGCAGCAGGACTAGATGGAATCCCAGGACTTCGGCCGGAACAGGGTGGATTCAGGAGAAACATGTCATGTAATGATCAAATCGCCACACTACAGATCATCACTGAACAAAGCTTGGAATAGCAGTCACCTCCCTATCTCAACTACATAGACTTTGAAAAAGCATTCGACAGCGTTGATCGAGAGGTGATTTGGTAACTATTTCGCTACTATGGGGTGCAACCGACAATTACACATCTCATCCAACAGTTGTACGACAATGCTAAATACCAAGTAATCCACAACGGGAAGCTTACGGAATCCCTCGAAGTGAAGACGGAAGTAAGACAAGGCTGTCTACTATCGCCAATGATTTTCCTGATTGCAGTAGATTGGATAATGCGACAGACAACGGGCAATGAGGAAACAGGAATAAAATGGACTCACACAAAAAATACTTGGAGGATCTGGATTTCGCCGATGATATGTCTGATTTCCCGCAAACTGGAAGATATGCAAGTGAAAAGCAACAAGCTGACAGAAGAAGCATCAAAGATAGGACTTCAAGTGAATATAGATAAAACAGAGGTGATGAAGATTCCTGGCCAACAGCAACAACAGACAATAATCAGCATAAATGGGAGGAACCTGAACGAAACAACCTCTTTTACCTACCTGGGAAGCATCGTTTCAAATACAGGCGGACGGAACTGATGAGGATATCAAAGTGATGATCGGCAAAGCAAGACAAGCTTTCATTTCTCTCAAGTCTGCGTGGAGGTCAACAGCACTACTCAGCATCAAAATGAAAATAAGATCCGGATTTTCAACTCCAATGTGAAGTTAGTCAGTGCAACTATACGGATCAGAGACTCGGCGCGTCATAAAGAGCACCTCAAACAAACTTCAGACCTTCATCAACAGTTGTCTTCGCTCAATACTCAAGATCAGATGGCCGGCCAGAAAAGATCAGCAACAGTGAGGGATCTATGGTAATGAGCGAACCAACCAGGAACCGACTGTGCAACAAATAAGCAGGAATAAATTGAGATGCATTGGCCATACTCTGAGAAAACCACTAATTGACATCACTAGACAGGCCATCACTCGATTGGAATCCGAAAGGGAAGCGGTGAGTTGGTCGTCAGTGTGAGGTTGACTTGGAGGAGGTCATGGGTAAGAGGAGATGAAGGCTTGTGGGCAGATTTGGAACCAGGTGAAAACTCTAGCAGAGAACTGAACGCAATGGAGACGTGCGTGGTGGAAGCCCTATGTTCTTCTAGGAATTAAAGGAAACAATGATAATAATAATAGATCATAAATGAAATATATTCACTGAAAAAGAAATACCACTTACTTGTCATAAAACTTTTGTTCAGACTTCACTGGCTCACTGTAAACTTCATATTGTTGACTTTGAAATTGACAGACAGCATACCCGTAGACTTTTACTTCATTCATTAATTCACTCCGATCATCATCATCATTCTTATTTAAATGTTCATCTTGAGTTTCACCATCGCCACCGCTGTCACTCCTACAATCCGTACCGCTGCCATCTCTGATATTATTGCCGCCTTTCCCTTTACTTCTATTACCCCTACTATGAATATCATGATTACTGATGTCACTAACACTTCTACAGCCTCTATTACCTCGATTTCCAAGGTTTCTATCACTGCCTTCATCACCACCCTGTCTACTTCTACTACCACGACAATACCTACTGTTGTGGTTAACACCTCCATCGTCAGTGTCACTAACATCGACACCAGTGAAAAATAACTCTTCCATTTGTCTCTTCCATTCATTATTCCACTGTTTAGGTTTTTTAAATGTTTTTTTAAAATCATAATCACGTAGATTCCAAACTAATTTTTTGATAGTCTTTTTTATCACAACAACAGATTGAGAATTTTTTATTTGAATAGCACCATTCATGAAAGCGTTTGATATTTCATTGGTCATAGTAGAATCAGTTGATAATACTGGTGTTGATAAATTGGCGTCTTTAGCAGATTGTTTAGTTGATGTTTGAAAGTTAGTCAGCACATCTTCATGAGTGTTAATTTTATCGCCTAAAGGACATGAACTTTGATCCCACTCACTATAACTTTGACAGGGTTTCACTTTTGATTCATGCGTAAGGATACGTGGTTGACATAATACCTGAAGATAGGGGGAAATATAAATCAAATGAATGATCACATTACTATTATTTAAAAAAGATAAACTGTAAATATAGTCTTAATTATTAAATGTACCTGCAGTCGATGAGTCCCGAATAGGACGAAATGCGCTTTATCCTGGATTCCATAGCTAGTTACCATCCACCATTTAAAATTTTAATTAAATATATTTTTTGCTTGTCAGGTGTACATTTGCAGGGATTTGGTTGGATGGTTACAGGATTTATCTCAAGCTGACACTGGTACTCCCAGGTGGTTTTCCAATGGTTCTCTAACTGATATCAGCCGATGCTGAATGCCGTAACCAATCAGATCCCTGAAAATCAACCCTAAATAATTAATCTAATGCTCACTAGCGACTGGCTGTATACAAGAAGTTACTTGGGGTTGTATTGAGAAGTTTTAACCAGCTAGGTCCACCAAGTTAGGCCTGTGAAACTGGGTGGTGGTTGAGCTAAATATATGTATCACGAATTGGTAGAAGTTGAAATTTATGGAGCATTTGGGTGGGGACAAATTACCTGAGTAGTCAGCGTGCTTTCCTGGCGGTGTGAGAGTCCTGGATCCGGACCCTGATGGATGCGTACTGCTGGAAAGTCCTGAGTCCGGACGAAACGACTACTGTCCAGTGTTCCCAGGTTTCTTAACGATTTTAATGCTGATACTGTTTTGTTGATGTTGGCTAACGGAGAGATCTACGAGTCACACACTCGTCTTATTTGGCGGTCGTCAGCTGGATATTCACTTAAAGAAAAAGATGGATATATTGCAAAACCAGAATGTTCCAAAGAAACAATTAACTGTGTATCTTTAAAATTCGAAGGTGATACAATTAATGAAGTTCTCCGAAGGTATCTGTTGTAAGCGATTTTTAAGAACATTCTTTGCTGCACGCCTGCGCCCTTAGGTTTTAGTATAAAATGAACTGATTTAAATTCTCCTTAAATGATGTCACTGTATCTCCTGGCGACAACTGTTGTAACTTGCTGTTAATTTACGTTTCTGTTGTTCACATTTTTATTGACATGGAATTTGAACTTTTTTGTCACGTAAATTTCTTAATCGCTGGCTGATTCACTTGAGTACCAGGCTTCTAGGAATTCTCTGGCGGCACTTTTGATGTTTCCTCTGTTTAAAATTTCTACATTATCCCAGTCAAATTGAGGTCCTTAATTATCTACATGCATTGATATGAAAGAATATATAGTCTTTTCACAGCTGATTTGTGTTCCTGGATTCTGATTCGAAGGGGACGTCCACTTTGACCACTGATGTAATGTTTATTCATGTTCATTCATGCATGCAATTTATTTTGTAAATAGTATTGATTTTATCTTCTTTTCTTGATGGATCTTTCAGTTTGTGCAATATCCAGTGAAGTGATACTGCTGGCTTGTATTCATCGGAACCTCACCTACCCTGATTTGTTTGTACACATACTTCTGTTACAACATTTCTGATTTTTGGATTCCTTAATCTACAGTATTTTTCATACTATAATGTTAACATACAAAATAGAGCGAAAATATTCATTCAGAAATCTTAAAAAAAAGAAAATAATTGAGAAAAGGATATCCCCCTTTCGGTAATTTCCTCTTCTGGCTCTACAACTATATGTAAATATATGTTCATATACATAGAATATTCTAGAATAGTGATCAATAACAATGTTGGTGATTTTGTTAAGTAAGATCAATAGAATTACCACATTACAAGAAAGATACATAAATAATAATAATAATATAATACCGAATAGAATATCGACTAAAATTAAGGAGATGTCTACAAAAGGTTGAGGATCATTAGAACGTAGATGGCCAGTGTGGGAGTGAGGACAATGTATGAACTAACTTTTTTCGACAAATAAATTAGTTTTCTCAATGTGGATTCAAACAGTCAGCCTCAGCAATATGCAGTAGAAGAACTGTTAAGGCGAAGTTGAGATTTGCTGGTATGCGGTAGGGACGACTTTGAAAGCCGCCTTGCTGACATCAATCTTGTGTTTTGTATCTACAAGGTGCTAGCTGTCTTTGATCATAGGTGCCTGCAAGCTATCTGTCGTGTGTGCTAAGTGGCATAATAAAATGAGCCATATTGAGGTTAGGCATCGGTTGAGTGTTAGGTAGGGAGGGGAAATCAATAGACGAAGTAGCTGTGAAGTTACATTGACTGAGATGGTTAGGACATGTGTCACGCATGCCTAGCCACCCCCATCCTCGATGGGAAATGTTAGCTGACATAAGGTCAGGTTAGAAAAGAGCCTGTAGTGGTTAAACCAAAACACGCCTTCATCATTCAATGAAATCCACAACAATTATTTTAAGGCAGCCACTTAGGTGTAGACTACCTAACTGGTTGGAGTCCTTGGGACGGTAAACACCAATGAAGGCTGGAGACAACTGGTGATATGGCTCAAAATCGTTCTCAGTGATGGCTGGCGTAGATGCATCCTTTTCTTGTGACTAATAATACCCAATAAAACTTTATTGTTCTTCGATGTTACTATTCCTTTTGTCTCATATCCCTGTCGACTGTCTCTATTTTGAATTTCGTTTTGCTTTATTCTCTTGCTTTGTGTGTTACAAGGAGGGACTATGGCGACTTGAACTGGTGCACATCGCCGCACCAAAGTTCTATGCTAAAACCGGACAGACAGACAGATCCACAAGATGAGATGGAATAGCGCTACGAATAGATATTGTTTGTCCTTTACTTAGCCAGCATGCAGGGTGGTGTTCGGAAATCCAAAGAGAAACACGCCTAACTGTACGGCCTATGTTATTTCAAATTTTATCAGTAACCATTATCACTTCAGTTAATTTACAGACGAATGCCTTCTATTATGACTCTATAAGGGGTGGTCCGACTGCGGCGTCTGGGGGAGAATGTGTTAAAAGCAGATTATTCAGTTTTCACACATCATACGAATTCATCCATTCTAGAAAAAGACTAGAATAACCGAGAAAAATATGGTCGGTCCACCGGTAAAGTTGACGCGGAAACTAGGTCTAGTGATAGTGGAATTAGTAGTGGTAGTGGGGTGACATCGAGGAGATCTTGAGAGGAAGCGGAGATGATAGACTATGGGCAGTCATGCTCGCAGCTAAAGAGGACAGCGGAGAATAGAACAACAGAAAGATGCTACTATTTTCACACAGACTGCCATTTTTAAACTTCTCACTTACAAAATTCATCCAGTGATGCAAGTCAGACAATAGGCAGGTCTGGTGAAAACCCTGGAAGGCTTCATTGTTCATATTTGTAGCATATTGGAGATTTGCATGAAACATCTCAATGAAATATTTCGAATAAGTTTCAGTCAAAAATGTACCTTTTTAATGTGCACTTATCAGGAGACTTTATGGCTGTGATATGCGAATTATCTGATTTTGTAGTAAGCTGTAGAGTAAAGACTTCATGACTTCATTGGATTCCTTTCAACAGTAGTCTGTATGCTGTGAACACCACCAGGTTATGTTATGGGGGTTACAATAACCTGCTTTGCATAACTTGTGTTGATATTTCGGATTTAGC